CTAACGACACCTCGTTCTGTGATAGGGTACGGGCGGAGCTCTATGACTGGCAAGGCGCTCAACGAGAACGAGACCGACTAAACAACGATTCGAACCCGGTGGTAGCAGTGAAGGACGTGGAAGACAAACAGCTTAGTGAAGAGGCAGAGAAGGACCCATCAGAGCAGAGTGACAGAAAGCTTCCACCAAAAGATAAAGGAGGAAAGGGCAAGAAGAATAAAAAGAAGCGTAAGACAAAAGCGAAGAAGAAACGACATTGAAAGATCACATAGGCAGCATAAATAGCCTGAAATGGGAACGCGTATCGGTGCTGAGTATGGAGTCTTAAAAGACGATCACTGGGATGACTTGACGATGAGTAGCATCCCTCCAGAGAAGATTATCACTAGACATGTGCTGCACATTCCATCGCATACAGGCGGGTTATATCGCCGAGCACATCGTTTAGATCAGCCGTGACATGCTGGTGGGATGCAGTCGGCAGGTTTAAGGCACGATGACACTTGGGAGCAATTAACACGTCTACGACTTGGCCCATTCACCTGTAGGCTGGGCGCGTACAGATTAATGCAGATGAGTGAGCCTTTTACTATTACAAGGGATCTGATGATTAACAGCAAGTGGGTTGATATGTGACAAGTACTTGAGTGAACTTGTCATGTGGTTGATCTGGAGCCGTGAAATTTACTACACAGAACAACTTTGAGCGTGGACCAACCTCGAGGACTGTTTCCAGAACTAGCTTTTCGGCCTTCGCCCAGCCGGTTAATTCTTCTGCGAGCAACACCATAACTACAACAGACTTGGCAAAACCGAGGTAAGATCAGGTACCATGCGATGTGTGTACTCATCTCCAGCCCCAAAATAAGATGATCATTAGATAACGCCACTCGCGGTTTGCCGGTTCAGCAACGGGGTTCATTCGAGTTGTATGCACAGAAGGACTTGAAGATAGCTATGAAGGCTTTACTCTTCAACGCAGCTTTACTTTCAAACGCTCTAATGAAATGTCATTGTCTACTCAAACGCTGCGATCTATCTAAACACACCAGAACCTGGCTCATCTAAGTCTCTAACATAGCTTACCCTAGCTATTACAAAACCCCCTATCAATCGAACGCTCCTTCCCAGCGTAAAGCGATTCGAACATCCCTGTGTGAAGCTACTGTAGCGTTACGCGAAAGCTATTCGGTTTCTCTGGACTTCTTCTTTTTTCCGCCGCCACTGCCGGCAATGTCAACCACGCATTCCCGCGCAGTCCGTACTAACCAATCTGCGACTGACTCAGTGTCAGCTTTGTAGCGGCTATACGCGGACATGAGGTACTGAGGGTTCTCCATCATGCTCTTCCGTGGTAGTTGGTGACGTCTATTAGACAGCAGATGGCGCAAGAATGGGGTTCAGCAATGGTGCAGAGGTTGTGTGTAACAATGGTGACAGATGGTAATGGTTGGAGTAGAGGATGGCAGCTAAGGAGGGGACTAAAGTTGAGAATGACAGAAGATGCGGAGGGAAATTGCGCGAAGAATAAATTCCAGTTGGAAGCGGCTGGTCAGACCCAGATCGAAAGACGATTGTACGCAGGCGTCAGGGAAGAGGCGACTGCAAGGGGACCGTAAACGTCAACCAGTTTCAAGATAGCTAGCGAGGATCAAAGATCTTCTATTTTTCCGTAAACGTCGTAGATGAGCGCATAGCCATCCACAAGCATCCTATGTTTCAGAGTGTCTGTGTAGATAATCTCGGATTACCTGTCAAGAGAGATGAGAACGATCAGAGACGATGACGGTAAGATGAAGCAAATGAAGGAGTTCATGTGTATGTTGGTGGTAAGATTATGGCTTGGAATGCAGAATTAAGTAGGGGAGGAAGTTGGGAAAGACCATATGGTGGGCATTTATAGAAGCAGGATGAAGTAGGGGAGGAAGTCAGAGAAGACCATGGTGGGGTCATTGAAGAGGGCAGAAGCTTGGGCAGGAAATAAATGGAATGTTGGCCTCGTCGTTGATCGAGACTTCTGAGAAAGTGCAATTGCTTTATTTCTTATACGTAGCAAGTACCATGATGAACAGTTTGATTGCAGCGAGAGCGGGTGCCACTGTCGTATTTCGGTCTGATCACCCATCTACATATGTACGAGGCGGGTGCCCTCTTGGACGCTCCACTTGATAAGTACTTGAAAATGTTTTGATTCTGAGGCGGGAACAATACCATGCCCTTCTCCTAGACTGAGTGCCACTGCCATTTTTAGATATACAAAGCCAATGCTGGAGGTCGTTTGCATGAGCAGCAAGAACCAAGTAGTAGTACATAGCAGACTGACGCCAATATTCCATTAATCCACTCCATGAGATTCAAGGTTGACCATACCAGTGAGGAAACGATCACTATCAGTGAGGTCTTCATGTATGATATAACGCCAGTAGAGTGGCTAGAGACAAGGGGTTAGCGATAGGCTTTGTCTTATATACAATGAAGCGACTGTGTTGGATGGGCTGTATGTACGATTGTACGTCGTTTGAAGCAGTAATGTTAATTCATCTGTATATTCCTGCCTTCTACCTAAGAGAGACTTCGTAATAAGAGACAGGCCATCGTGCCTTTTGTACAAAGACACGTTGGCGGTGCTACATGATGCCCAGTACGTGCCTGAAGTCACGTGCCATGGGCACGTGGTGCCCCTGGTGGTGGTTGTGGTTCAATAGACTGGCTTATGGTTTTGGAACTCTGGGTGCTTCTCATAACAGACGTCCTTGCTACTACTAACTTGAGGCGGGCTTGAAAAATTAGGCGAGCGCTCACGGTGGGTATAGGCACTTGCCACAAGATGACCAGGGGGCGAATTACTATGTACTAAGGTAGACGTAAACGTGGAGTCAAACATCCTATTTTTCCCGGAGCTAATTGTTTCTTTCTGCCTGGGACAAGCTCATTGCTATTTGTTTGCATCGACCTCGTGACATACCCCTCATTCTTACTATGATGTAAACCCATCCAGATGCCCATCTCCGTACGAGGAATATCGGCTGTAGGGCAGAGGAAGATTTCACGTCCATTAATGTACCTGGAACACATTCAAGCATTGAATTAGGTACTGATTAGTAACTAAGATCACAACCCTGTTAACTTTTTTGAGCGGTTTCTCGTTGTCTTGAAAGTGGGACAGCCTGTCACTACCAGAGTTCAAAATAGCATGGATCGTCTTCGTACAATACAACAGAGCACATATTTACCAATTGGGCAGTCCGTCGTACACTACGCTGATGGACGATAGTGACATATGTAACACACTCGACGATCAATGGATTGATGGATCGAAGGAACATGGCTGCCTGGTATTCGGACCACCTCTGGTGCCTCCTGGTCAACAGAATTACGGATGAGATTGGAAATCACTGATGTTAGGTTGCGCCCAAATCAAGACCCGCACCATCATGTCGCCGACATAATATTCCTTCATCAGGGTCAGATGAGACATACTAGTCAGGTGCAGTATGCGGGTTCGAGGCACGGCGATACATGGGTGCTGCCAACACGTCCACGACCAGTTCCCTTTCCTGCCTACCTACCTTTTGCCCTGTGACTTCGGCGTGTACACATCGATGCATATCGGGTGATCACTCTTGCTATTCAAGAAGAACTGTCTTGACCCAGCAAGGCGACGACACTCACACTCATTACGACTGGACAGCTAAGCTTGCGAGACATCGGCTGCTTGGAGCTTCGGATGCATTTACCCTTGCGCACTAGCTAGGCGTTGATCACCCCAGACGATTATCATTGCATAGATTTGACACGCTCAGTATCACGATCACGAAAACTGCCGGTCACGATGTCTTCAAGACCACAAGCCACAGTCGAGCTATCCCTATCCCTATCCACGAACACACTCAGTCTCTCGCAATCAGACCAAGCTGTGACAATCACAGTCACGGCTACGACCCTATCATCCAGCAACCCGTCATCGGGCATAGTTTTCAACGCGCGCTGGACAGTGATGGACGATTGTGAGACAACATGGCTCTACCCCTTTCGCCTTCGAAGCGTGAGCGACCCGCCTCAGTTCATTCGGCTCAGGCAACAAGTCTTTCCTTCGCTTGTACTACCGACAGAGCCGGATCTCCGGCGTAATACATTGGAGCGCTTTCTCGTGGTCCCCGGAGTGGGACAGGGAAGTCTCACGGTCGAGCACACACTTACCTCATCGAGGATCTTTCAGTATAGCCACTTGAAGGTTAAGTGACCTCATTCTCCCATATCTTTGTCCAGGCCAAGCTGCTTGAAGCCTGCTAACACCTACTTGTGTACAGCCATCTGCCATAACGCCTGGCGCTAAGTATCAATTCGAAGTGCTTGTTGCTCGGCCTAGTTCAAGCCTGCCGCCCCGCTGGTGGGCATTCGAGGACGAGACGGTAGGCAAGCGGTTTCGGAAGGGCGTGACAGAGGAGATTGGGTCAAGGTATGGCGATAGTATCAACGCCGCGAGAAGGCTTATGAGCGAGGGCTGGATGTATAGTCATCCTACCAGGGATTGTAAATTCGTCGTCAAGACAGACAGTCCTGCCGTGATCCAATTCACTGATTAGATCGGCTTGAAATGCGGCTTTATTTTTCCTAGTCGTCTGCATTTGTCTGCAAACAAGTTACATTAACAATTGTCATAGCATGAACACGGACATTTGTTCCCCATTCAAGCCGTTATAACTGCTCCCGCCTTCAATCGTCCGATCGGCGACACAGGCAATCGGACTATCCGCATACCATAAGGTTTCGTGTATTAGGCGCTACAGCGTAGAATTTGCGCATACAACGCCTATTGAGACATCATCAAAAAGGGAGGCTACCTTCAACGTGTCAAAGCTGTTTTGTGCCTCTGTAGAAGTAGCGAAATCGTTGATATGCATGTACATTCTGCTATGTCAACGCGGCCGACCCCTTAGAATGGTCAAATAACTGAGGGCAGAAAAAGTGGGATGGGATTGTGCAAAACACAAAAGTTACTCCGAATCGGGGAATCGAACCCCGGGCTCCACGGTACTTCAAGTACGCTTTCGTATGATTGAAAGCGTGATTTGAGAGCGTGAAATGTTAACCACTACACCAATTCGGATTACACACTGATTGGCTACTATTGGCAAATCGTTTTCGTATTATTATTTATGTCCGTGAAAAGCAAAGTGTGGGCTCGGTTGCTATCGGCCGTCGCCTACTGTCTTTAGTGCGACTCCACCGATGGAGAAAGTCGACGGCTAGAGAGATTTCATTGTTTAGTGCACCCTCATTTGCCGGAGAAAGAAGAGACAACATCGAAATCTGAACTCGAAACTCGATAGAAATACTGGGCTTATCGCAAGTTGCTTAAGAGGTTTGTGATGCTGAGGGTGAAGGAAAATGACTCCAGATGAAACTGAAACTGTCAGCCGGTAACCGTGTCAATGTAGAAGCTTTACTGACGATTTCAATTCTCCAGTGTCTGATTCGTATATCGTATTCCAATTATTCGGTAGCCAGAATGAATAACAGGATCTTAGTACTTTGCAGTTTTATCACCAATACAATGCATAACGTGGACAATGCAGAATCCAACATTACGGATGCGCAGAATCCAAGACTCGTCGACTCTTCCATTCCGGTTAGTGGCTGGTGGAATGCTAGGTGGCTAGGTAGATGCCCCGCGCTTACCTACGGGGGCAGAAGGTTGACAATTCCCTTTGCAAGGGTTGCTCAGCTGCCGAGCTGCCGAGCTGCCTCATGCTTCACCCAGCATTGATGCTTATTGTGTCCAGTCCATTGTGAGTCTCATGCCTCAGCTACTTTTCATTCTCATCGCGGATATTGGCATTTCACATCACAACACAGCATACGTCGTGGTATGATAAGCGCCTCGAAGTATGGACTCCTCACGCACGTACACCGACCACGCCTTTGAGCCAATCGTCATCACTTCAAAGCATGCGTTCTCCGACACGCACAGAAGACTAGAAGCCACGATACCAGCACTCGACACCACGTTTCGGCAGCACAGTCTTCGGGGCGATGACGAAGGCACAAGAAAAGCGCTCGAGGCTCTGCCACCGCTGAACAACTTCACGGCATCGATGCGCAACTTCGGAGGTCTCATGACGGCAGTCGGGCAGAGAAGCCAGGTGGTTGTGTATGAGATTGGGAATCCCTTGATCGCCATAAAGCTGGGAAGGCATATACCAGATATCTTACTGCATACTCCACGGCGTGTCCTGTTATGTGTGGAGGAGGGAAAGGTCAAGTTCAAATTCGATCCCCTGCTGCCGATTGTTGCGAGGCATGGATTACCGCAGGTGAATGAAATTGCGGAGGCGTTGGATGCGAAGTTGACGAGCGCGCTGGAGCTCATTGCTAGAGGAGATGATTGAAATGAGACATTCTCTATGAGAAGGACCGCCAGCTTCATCGTGCTGCAGCAAATACGGCATTTGCCAGCCGTCACGCCACTTTTGAATCACCATCGAACATGAGATGAGCTGAGGTCTCATGACTCCAAAATCACTGCCCGGTGAAGCATATCTAACCTCTACCTTCCTGACCCTGACTGTCCTAGAGCGTAGATTTCAGTATCGAAATTCACTAAACACGCTAGGTCTGATTGGTTTATGCCATCTTGAGTACTACCCCGCCAAAAAGACCCTGGTTTGCAGGCAGTCGCAAGGGCAATTGCCCCTCCATGAAAACGCGCCTGCCTTGAGTCTCACATCAACATCGCGAAAGTAACAGGCTGCATCCCATCTCAACTCATTTCGTCATCCAGTCGACGCCATACTTCGCAGTGAATCAGCAGGCTTGTTGCTGTGAACACGGAGACAATAGCCATTAGTATCCTGCGGATTCATACTAGTATCCTTTTACTTTCCCAAATCCACTTACATGTTCGCTATCACCCTCATACCTCCATAACATCTCATGGACATCACCTAAGACACACCCCAACCTCACAGCTCAACATCGAGGTCTGGCGCACCAGATCTCATACAACACCGCCCTCCAAAAATGGCAGACGCAAAAGAGAAGTTCTTCCGTCACTTCCAAGGCGAAGTCACACGTACACCTCCCCATCCCCACCTCTTTCAACGCCCGCCCATACTGACAAGCCCCAGGCGTCCAAGACGAAATCGAGAATCTCGCCACCCTCTCAACCATAGCAGGCGAGCGCCAAGATGGCATAAACGTCGTCCTGGGGAGTATATCCCGGCTCTCAAAGGAAGTCATGGACGCCGGGGACTACGTCCCAGTGTACGACCAACGAAACTACTCACAAGCCATCAAAGCCCTCACACAGAAGCTCAACGAAACGACCGGTAGTTTCGCACCCAAGAAGCGGTTCCAGTTCAAGAAAGCCGCGCCCGTAGCGTCCAGCTCAAATCCGGGCGAGGAAGTCGCAAAGCCGGTATCGATGAGCCGCAGGCTATATTCCAGCGATGGAGGCAACGACTCAGACCATGATACTCTCAACCCACTCCCCTCATTCCCCAACACCAATACCACCACAGGAGGGAAAGACTATAACGAAGAAATCTCCCAATCCAGCAACACCCACATCCGCAAACCCAGCTTCTCAACCGCAAAGAACATACTCATCTCCTCCCACTCAAACCTGCACATCATCCTGCCCTCGTCCGCCTCCCACGCGACATCATCCGGCAACCTAACCGACCTCACGCGCTGCATAGTCGACATGACGACCCCGACGCGTCTGGACGCCGGCACGCCGTTCGCCGGGCTGGCACTGAAGAACATCACCGATTCCCTACTAGTCTGCGGAGCAGTGAGCGGCGCATTGCACATCACGGGGCTCAAGAATTGCGTCGTGATCGTCAAGGCGAGACAGGTGCGGATGCATGATTGCAAGGACGTGAAGGTATATCTTTGGTGTGGGAGTCATCCGATCATCGAGGATTGCGAGGGTGTGGATTTTGCGCCTTTGCCGGGGTTTTACGTGAGTTTTCGTTTTGTGTTGAATTGAGGGAGTGAGGAGGTGTGCTAATGGATGACAGGCCGATGATATGTCGACTCCGGAGACGAATCGATGGGATCAGGTTGATGACTTCAAGTGGCTCAAGTCTGAAGCGTCGCCGAACTGGAGGGTCCTGCCTGAGGAGGAGAGACTGAAGGACGGGATCTGGAGAGACAAGGTCTGTGGGGGTCCGAGTCTCGGTACGGATGACATTCTGAGGGAGGTGGGTGTTCTGAAGTCGTAATCGTGAAGTCGCTATCTGATGTGGGCAATCGTCCCCCTTGCGACTTTTGCACCTCGAAGCCATGTGCATCACGGCCGAAGCAAGGGCAACGGGGAGTATCAGGGCGGAAAAGAGGAGATGGTTCACGGAGTTGACGGAGCGCGGGAGATTAGGAGTCACGATACCCCAGGGAGCCAGAAGACGAGGAAATGAAGACCTGTGGCAGTATCGTTATCATTATCATTACTTGATACCCTAATGCCGCTCAAATGCTATTCCTTGCCGCAGCTGTTCTTTGTCGCTAATCATTGCGATACCGTCGATTCTCGGTCGTGCTAGATTCCGTATTCTGCTCTGCCTATTGCTGTGCCGGGCCTGTTCGTACTATATTGACGAGATTCTGCGTTGTCGAAGTAAGCAGCATACTCGGGATTCATCGGTTGTAGTATCCGCTATCCGTAATTTCGGGTGGTTCTGGTTTGGGTATCTTCGTGTCTATGGGTATCATCGGTGTTTCGTTCGTTTCCCTCTTCTTTCTCGTCTCTCGCCCAACTCAGCGCCCCCCAACATCCCTCAGCGCCCTCAGCACCTCGCCCTGCCTCCTAATCCTCTCCTCCAGCTTCTCAAGCTCAGCCTCCTGCTCCTTCACAGTCCTGTCCAAGTCGGGCAGCTGCGTCTTGAGCAAGCCCCTCGTCTTCTGGAACTGATGCTTCAGGCTACCCGTAGCGACCGGAATGTCCTTCAGCGTTAACTCGCCGGTGCCTGGTTTCCTTGACGAGATGGGTGTGGGCGTTGCGTGGGCGGGGGTGTTGGTCTGGGAGGGCGTGCCCGTGGCTGTGCCTGTGGGGAGGGTGCGCAGACGTGTGAGGATGTTGGCGAGCTCTGAGAGGACGTCGAGCGTGTCGGGATTGAAGGCGCTCGGGAGGGTGAGCTGGTTGGAGGGGGTTTGGGAGGACATTTCGTGTGATGCGCCGGATTGGCGGCGATCATGCGACTGAAAGAATGGCAGTCTTCGCCTAGCCGGCAGAGAGATGGCTTGGCAAATGCTTTCGAGAGACGCGCCGTAGAGGAAGAGTTGATGACAGAGAGGTGCTAAGATGTCGAGGCGGAATGTGAAACCATGGAGAAGCGCGACGACGGGTACATTGAGCAACAAGGGAAGGTGATTGCCGCTTTTGGCCCGTAGAGTGGGGTGAGACGGGCAAATTATAGGGTAACGTCTGCGTCTGCTTGGGTGGACTTACCAAGGAATTGACCTATGAGTCTCTGCGTGATCAATCTGACATATGTCGAGTCCAGCATTCCATTAGACTCTCGTTCGAAGCTAATTGTTCTTAAAGTCAGTTGATAGTATGGGCGTCTTATAAGTATAGGAAACCGATACCTAGTCCGCTTCAGTAAAGCTTGCGCTGATAATTCTACATTGTAAAGACAGTACAGTTTATTTAAGTAAGCGTGGAAACTATGAACATCGTTTGGATTGTTATTTGTTACCCCTGCGAAGAGTCTCGATGCTTTGAAGACGAAGACAATTCGCTTGATATCTATGATATATATCCGGATCGATAAAGTATGGGACTTTACAGAACTTAAAGGAACCTTGAAATCACAACTAGGTACTTAATACATCGACGTAGTATTAGGTCCAAATAGGCAATCCTAGAGGGAGCACTCTGAGAGAGCTTTTCATCAAGCAACCCGGCTATAAACAGTCCTATTCAAGACATCCACATCCATCTATCACAAGTTTGAGTCTTGCCTGCTGACCGTGATGAATATACTGGACTGGGGGAGACTTCGCGCTCCGAAGCCGTGCGCAAAGTGCGGCGGGCAGCAAATGATTGTTCGGTAGGATCCTTTCTCTTCTCTACCGCACTGCATTGGTACATCGTTGTGATTG